TTTTTATTTATATATATATAATATATACGTATATAAACAATTTAATTAAAAATAAATCATCTTAATACATAAATCTTTCTTTGAAAAACTAAAAGTGAACAACTAAAAGTGCGTTGTTGCCGGATCACTATTTTCTTACGCAATTGATAGTGTGTGTATACACAGACGAAACACTAGCGCTCTTGCACAGACAGTCAGTTACAAAAACTAAGCTTTGGAAGAAGAGTGAGAAGTACGCAATGGGAACCAGGCGCGCGCAGCTCGCGGCACTGTATTTTTGAGGCGCATTGTACCACGATAACCCCCTTAATATACATTTATATGTATTATGTGCATACCGCAAGTAAAAAAAATAATATGCCTTTCTAATAAGTATTTTAATATTTCTCATAAATTTATCCTGTCCGAACAGAGGTTCTATATTCAAGTACCACGACCAGCAGTAGTAACAATCTTGACTTTGGCGATTTAAATGATTTGCAGTACCTGAAGAGACTGCCATATGTATGACATGTGTAATTAGCATATTACTTATTATATGCATACAATTAAATTACAATTTCTTGATTACTTTTATATATATATAATAACGATGTATATATAAATCTATGTATATATAAGTCCACATTATTTTCTATATAATTATTACATAAGTAATAAGAATGTTTTATATACAAATATTTGTGTTTATGTATAACGTAAATCGATTTAAGGAACAACGTACTTTCTGCGTATATAATTGGATAACTGTTCATTAACTAACGCTGCCAAATAATTGACTCCTTTTATTTTATAATGTTTTTATATTTATGTATTTTTTCATTTTTTTACGTGTTTTACGTAATTTGAATTTGCCATTATAACTTTTGTGGAGATAATGTCCAAAATGTTATATGAAAATAAATATATGTTATTTTAGATTTTTGGTTAGTGCTAATTTTAAAATTATTGTGTTATTAATTGGCTGTAACAAATATAGTACAAAACTGACGCATTATCATTAATAGGATGCCATTTTAAAATATTGCGATTTATTCGATCCAAAATACTAATTTGCTGTTAAATTTGGTTAATTTATTCCACATTTTTTCTTTTTTATCATTCTAATAATATTATAAAATATTAAATGTACTTGATAATTCTTTTATTTGATAAGCAGAAAATATACAATACAAAAATTATGGCAATATATATTCATATTTATTATCTTATTTATGTACTCACATCCATGTTTTCTTTTATTTTATTAATGCTTTATTTAATTTATTTAATTAATTTTTTAATTTTATTATTTATTATTTTAATATACAATAACTTATTATGTCTCATCTGTTTTGGTGTCATTTATATATAAATACCATATTTAATTCTACCTTTTTTCAAACTTGATGTTTTTTGCCATCATTAAGATTTTTCATTGTGCGCACGTTTCTGTTTCGCTTACCAACAAAGGAATATCGTGAAAATTTTGATCTCAAACTTCGCACATATAGATGTTAAATATATAAAATTTAAAAATTTTTACTTGGTGCAGAAAACGATTTTAAGGTCTAAAATC